CGTTTTTAGCCGAAAAAAACGACCATGTACAGTGATCCCTTGCTACTTCGCGGTTTGTTTATCGTGGCCTAAGTGCATAACGGATTTTCTCAAACGTATTAATTTTTTTTTTTTTTTTTATATACATGGAGTACAGTACTGTATATGTTGCTCTATGTGACTCGCTTTTGTTTTGCAGCTTCTCGTGGACCGTTTGCGGACTTTTTGCGGACTTGTAAAAAAAAAAAAACCTGCATATATTAATTGGTCGCTACTTCGCGGATCTGGCCAAAATGGTCTTTGTGAGCTCGGTTCACAATTGGTTTTTTTTCCGGTATAAAAGTTGTAATACGCCGTACATGATTTGAATTGATAAAAAAAACGTTTAAAATACGGGCAAACCTCGCTTCAGACGCGTGAAAAAGAGAGAGAGAGAGAGAGAGAGAGAGAGAGAGAGAGAGAGAGAGAGAGAGAGAGAGAGAGAGAGAGAGAAGGAAAACGACAGAGCCGGCTCTCATCGTTCACTTCGAAGAGCCGGCTCTTTGTACCGGCTCGTTCGCGACCGACACATCACTGGTGCAGAACATTAGATAACAAACATGGCGGCGTATAGCACAGTCGTCGCTGGCACAGCATGTAAAGGTACATTCGCTGCTTTCAGGTGTCGACACAAAAACTCAAGTTATGTGACACATGATGCATGTTGATAACTAATAGCCAATGAGGATCTGTTACTTTATAATTTGTCGAATACAACTGTTATCGAACCGTCTACGGAACGCTTCCTCTGCCGTGAAAGGAATCACGAACGTTCCAAATACCTGTCAATGCTAGCACAAAACTTTTGCAGACTTCTGTCAATAAGGATGAAGATGAGGATAAACAATCCCTCCCTTGGTGTCTCCACTTTACATCTACTGTATTCATGTTCAGTCTTAAGAATTGTTGTACTGTGTTTTTTAAATATACGCTACAAGTGCTGAGGTCTTTTTTTTCTCAAGCTCAAAAACAAGTCCACCTTATTTGTCCTATACCAGGTGCCGTCCTCGTTCCTGGTGGTCAGTGGTTGGTGACAAGCTACCTTTCGCCGATACATGGCCGATGTTTGAGGGTGCAGACTGCATCGCTTTGTAGTCGTGGGACGGAGCCGCAGAGGAATCAAAAGTGTAACGCAGAGGAAGAGAGGGAAAGCGAGGGTCCCGCGTATATTCCCCTCAAAAAGGCCAAGAATCCGATGATGAAGATTGGGTATGCCTGGTGAGTTTTGTGTGTCGGTGACGGAGTAACAATGCTGACGCATGCTTTAATTGTGCTATGGACTGAGCATTGTCCTTATGACTACTTGCATTTCCTCTCTGGCCTCTGTTTAGGATGATTGGCCTCCCCGCTGGAATTATCGGCTTCCTGCTGGCCAAATGGCAAGTGGACAAAAACCGTCTAAAGCAACTGAAAGTTCGACAGAGAATGCGAAGGTCCAATGAGGGGGACTATGAAAGAAGCCGGTACCGCCAGAGTGTCGAGACTGTTAAACTTGACCAATGATGCCGTGGACCCTCGGCCCAAAGACTGATTCTCCAGACCTTGTTCAAACATCCCTGGTCCCACAGGGAAGGAACTTTAAGGAGGAGTAATTTGCTTGTAAGGAATTGTATTAAATGTTTTTGTGTTTCATAAGTGCAATGGAGATTCCTATGTTGACTTCACTTCTGTAAAATGTCCATGAAAAACACGACGGCCACAAATAAAATTATTTATTATATATGAAAAGCCGAGCAATATATTTATAAACCACACCACAGGGATCACCAACCTTCCGGAAGATCTGAGCAAATTTTAAATGACCTGTAATTAACGTATGGTATTGTATTCATCTATGTGAAGACCCTACTAATTTCTCACAGTAATTAATGATTTGACAAAATAGTGTGTGTGTGGCACCAAAGTGTAACACTTCACAAATCGCTGGAGGTGTGTACATTTTCGAAACACTTTTCACAAATCTCACATTTTCCAACAATCTCTCCAAACAACACTCCTTGGCAATAACAACATCCTGGTGACCCCTGCCGGCCCCACACTCATTACTGTGCTTAGGTGTGACTTTCTAAGAGTGTGGAAAAGCAAGGTGTGGACAAACTGTCATTCCGTATTGCAACAGGCAACATAAGAGACCGGCAAAGACACGCTATGCGACAAACATACAGTATTATTTAATGCAAGTAACCCAGTAACGGTTCTTCTATTTAACCGACCCTCAAGCACAGGTCCAACTGGCGCATAACAGTTCCAAACAACCCGGCGAAACATCAACAGACGTCATAGAGACGTTTCAGCGCTACATCTGTACACGTAGATATAAAATACAGTTGTTTACTTCAAGCCAGCAAAAATGGCAATAATTTCACACTGGAATACTTTTTTTCTTTTTTTTTTTTAAATAGGCGTATAAATGTAGAAATATACTATATGTGAGTGCGTCGGAATGTCTTGCACAGTCATCAAATCTCAAATTCAGCCCTTAAGTAATAGTCGTTGAGTGCAGCATGATTTACCTGATTTACATTCGAGAGTTACGCATGGAAACAAAGCAAAGGCTTTCAACGGCACGGGGTGGTATTGCAGCAACTATGTCGATATGACTGCTTGCGTATCCCCAAAGACTTATTTGCTCGAACCGATAATTTGGAGCAGGAAGAGGAAGATCTGAATGATGTCGACGTAGATATTAAGTGCGGCAAACACGTATTCCTCAGGACTGATGGAGTACTTCCTGTTACCGATGAGGAGCTGCGTGTCGTATGCCAGGAACTGCGAAGCAAACACAAACCATTTTTTCCAGACTTTTTGGGGGGTGGGGGGGTTAATCATGAATACTAATACTCACCAGAGTGAAAGCTATGGCTCCAATAGCGGCGTAAAGCATGTGAAGCCAGTAGATCTGCCAGAGCAAAACGGTCATTCAAATGAGGCCAACGTGAAAGCTGGCGTCAGAACTCTGATTGGCTGACAAGACAAGTTGAAGCTTACATATTTGAAAGAGAGCACGATGACGGTGATGATGCCCGTCACAAAGACGACAATGCCAAGCACGCAGAAGAAGCCGCGGCATTTGGTGAAGTCCACCTGCAGAGACAAAATCGGTTCATGTGAGATTGGTGCTCTGGCCTCATTATGTTTTTCTTCCATTTCTGCTCGTTCGTATAAAATACAAATTTAAAAAAAAAAATCTTGTAATCCCACTTTGCACAATGTGCAGGTTGTAAAACAACCTCAAAATGTAAGTTTGTATATCTGCTCACGTTGCTTAGTACTGTACAGATTCATTTTCGTCAACCAGCAGAGGAAGCGTCCTTTTTCGAAATCAAAATGGGATTCTCCAATGGTCAGTGTAAAATGGGGAGGGGGGGTGCTCCATTTTCGTGCAGTAACCCATGAAACATTGTTTTCCCCCCCCCCCCTCTGAAACTAAGAATATTCGAAGAAATTGTCCACAACTGGTAAAAGAAAAAACAACAGTTTGGGATTAGCCAAAAGTAGTTTTATGCTCCAAACAGTCGATTAGTGATGAAGAGCTAAAGTTGGACATGACAAAACCATACAACCCCCCCCCCCCCACACACACACATTTCAGAAGTGCCATTACATTTGCGTGAGCACAGCTAAACTAGTTCCAAAAAAGGAAAGGAGGTTGACATCCTGGAAATGGCCAGCAAATAGCCCAGAGGCTGAAAAGAGTTTGATACTGCTGAGCTCTGGCGCTTACACACGCAGACACACACACGCACATGCACACACACAAGTACCTTGGTCTGGAAGCAGAAGACGGTGACAGCGATGCAGACGACAACAGTGATCGCCAAAGCGAGAAACACCGCCTTTGTATCATAGTAACTGAAAGCACGAATGAACAGTTATTGACGCAAAATGGTGAGGCAACTCTATCAAATTGGACTTTTCAATGTTTTTTTTTTTTCCTAACCTGGATATGGAGCCAGTCATGTAAGAGAGCGCCAGAGTCTGCATAAGGAAAAAGAAAACACCAAAAACATGTCTTTTAGCTGGGAATGACAGCAAAGTGGCAAACGACTGCAGGGTGAACTTTTCCAATTTGTGGTTCGAAAGGCTTCATTCTCAATACCAGACATAATCAATGTTCTAAAATGCATACTTGATTAGAATGCTATCGGTCAGGACTGGCCAAGTGTTTGGTGTCCAGGGATCTCTTGAAGGGGAGACAGTCAGGAAAAGGTGTAGTTTGCAATTTGAAAAATGCCAACCCCAATATTTTACGGTTTTGTTGATGTTTTAAAGAAAGACAAAACAGATTATATTGCGACATGGGGACAATAGGCAAACTATTCAGTCGTTTTTACAGCCCCCGGAACAAAAGACAACCCTTTAGCGTTGTCTGGTGGAACACGGAACTTTTCAAAGACCACAACCAAAAACTTCTGCTATCGTTTAAACACGCTCCACTGCGGATCACTTCTGCACGCATGTTGCAACGGACCGTCTCTTGGTTCAACTTTCAGGAAAGTGAACAATCACTTCCGAGTACAACAGCATACAAAAGTGACCAACATTCTGGAATTGGGTGTTTTGAGATGCCGTTTGTCGTGGATCTCTTTCAAAAACGCAATTTCAAAGGGATCATGGGGAAAAAAAACAACCCACAAGTAATAGCCGATCGTGTCCATGACGCGCCTGCGGCCAACGGCAACATCAAGTCATAACACAACAGCGAACCGACAACCAAAAACACAAAGAGAAAGAAAGTGTGTGTGTGTGTGTCACTGAGGGCGCTGTGCCCAGGTGCGCTGACTCAATCCTCCTGCCGCGGTCTCATGGAGACGCCACCCAAATGGAAACTTTTCCGGAGACTGTTCTATTCACTTTGTCATTTGCATGCAGTAAAAAAAAAAAAAAAAAAAAAAAAACTAAACGCGTGCAGCGTTTCCTGATTCGAGTTAACGGCAGCGATTCAACTTACAAAGATGGAGAGCAATATCAAGTTCCACGGATGCTTCCTCCTAAAGAGATGGTGGAGATGACACAACGTCACGCAGGGTCATTGGAGTTAGTTATTGGCGTCAACATTATTTTCAAAGCTGTGGAAGGCACACTCACCGGGGGCCCTTGCAGCACACCAACACAATGTGGGTGATGAAATACACAGCACTGAAAAAAATCAAGCACCAAAGATTCCTATTCACGCACTCACTCGCTCGATCGATCCTTGTTTACACGTTCAACGGTGTTGCAACTCACTATGATGCCCAGTAAATGGCCTGGTTCCGCTGTACAAAATATCGGACCGGTTCGCTGTGAGAAACAGAAACGTGGCGCCCAAAGTCATGGGTAGGACAAAACATTAGAGGCAAAAAAAGCAGACGTGATACTCACACAAAGGTGAAAACGGCCACAATGGCTGTCGTGACGAGGAGCTGCGAGGCCAGAATCAAATAGACCTGAACGAACAACACAAGATGTTTCACATCACACTTGGATGAACGGATCATCCAGATATCGCCGTACACCGGATGATCATCCGAAGCGGGCGTGCAACGGAGGAAGATTCTCAACATACGGCAGTCTGGACGCCTCGGCTTTTACCTTTCTGATGAAGGCGTGCCGAATGCTCAGACTGTCCCAATCGCTCCCCCGGGCGGCAAAATCATCATCTGTCGTGAAGAGCGGGAGAAATGAGCGCTGGGCGGTTGCCGTTATATTCCGAATGACATCGTGTGCGTTCTTGATGACAAAGTACGACAGCCAACACGCTCGCGTAGGAACGCAGGCCCATGTCGTATAACCATCGCGTTTGTGTCAATCAAACGTCGCTAAAGTTGTATTAATTTCAACACACGTATCTCCGGTGTTGATCAGCTTTGCTATGAGGCCAAAGTAGTAAGCTACAGTCATCATTGTGTCGTAAAAGACCAGCTTGGAAGGCGTACGGGTGGTCCTCTGACTCGTCCGAAGAATTGAATTTCGGCCACTGCCAAAGGTAACCACCGCGAACGCTCTACAATATTTGCGCGTCGGCCTGGACACCTCTGTCATTTCAGCACGAGTTTCTGTGCTAACATGATTATTTGGGGTTGTTTGCTCTGCTCAAATAAATGTGGGCGGTGCAAACGGAAATCATCCAGTTTAAACCACAAAAATACTTTTTTTTTTTTTCTGACCACATACAATCATGAGCCTGACATAGTTGGCTTGAAAGTCAATTACAGTAACTTGTTGCAAAAAGCAAATAAAATTCCCAGACCTTCTATTCCTTGCTGATATTATACAACAAGAAGTCATATTTTAGTTTAAGACCGGAGGAAATGTAGTTGAGGGCTGACATTTTTCTTTTTAAACAAACCATGGCAGTGATATAAAACGACTTCACAGCTGCTATGCCTCGGCGCAAACAACCTTTCATTTCCTGTCCCCAGCCTCACAAAGTGCCGCGCTACATTTTCAGCTTTCGCTGACATATGCTTGTCTCAACTGGTCCGTGACACCAAAAAGGTTGGGGGCCACTGCTGGGAAGGATAAGCGGTGTTGAAAATGGATGGATGGATGATTCAGAAAAAAAATATATATGTATATATATGTAGTACTGTAAAAGCTAAAGTTCATTCGTTGCTTTCACCCATGAAAAGCTCCCGGCTTACCAGAGTTGATCACATCCGCAGGGATGGTCCGTGGGACGATGGGAGGCATCGGGGGCTGACCGGGATAGCCGGCTCCGGGAGGCCCAGCCGGATGAGGCTGTCCTGGGTACGGACCGGGAGGATAGCCAGGCTGACCCGGGTAAAGAGGCGCGTTTGGGCTGGTCGGGTAGGGAGCAGGAGGCTGGCCCGGCTGAGGTCCGCCGAAGGCCGGGAAGCCGTACGCAGGGGGTGCTGGGTAACCGCCGCCCTGGGGTGCGTACGGTGGCCCGTGGAAGTCATCGTACCCTGGAGGGTAGTCCGATCTGGACATGTTGCCTGTCAGGAGAAGCGAACGGTCACTCGTCTTTACAGCCAAAGTCAATTCAGGCTGGATTTACACGGCCTGGTTCAAGCGGCAATTCCAATGGTTTGCTCTCAAATGGCTCCATTGAAATCTGCGTCATGGCAGCGTAAAGAGAAAACAAAACAGATAGAAGACCCCATTCAGAATGTGTAATTTTTTTTTAATCTGCTTCCCGATGCGCCAGTGCAAGCGAAAACGCACAAATCCGACATCCCATCAACGGAAGCTTGACGGCATCAAAATACACCAGATGTTGCAGTACATACATTTTTCTCGCCAAACAAAAAACATAAACTCATTTGTTATGGCGAGTCCTTCGTGAAGCATGCTTCTGTATTGAAACAGGAGAACATTCAGGTGCGGTCGGGGCAGGCAGAGGAGGCGGAGCTTGACTGTCCCCTTCCCGTCATGCTCCCGTTCGGAATGAGTCCCACTCCCGTACCGATCCCATTTTGGCGGTCAGCAACATTTGAAAAAAATACAATAATAATAATAAAGTTGCATTTTACACAATTACTGAGTACTCTTGGACTCTTTGCCGATTTTGACACAGATTAGTTTGTTACAAACGTGCAGTTATGATACCAGACACGCGGGTAATTTTATAACTGGCTGTGTCTAAATTTGCTCAGGATTACTCAGGGGGTAGGCGGGGGAACCATGCCGGCGTGCCATTTTGACTGTGACTTTTAGGGAAATCCACAGGAAAGGAATTCATGAGGAGGCCCCACCTTGGATTGCCATGACGTCACATCCCCATTAACAAGCAACAACACTCTCTGAGTGGGGAAAAAAAAAAGTGCTTCCTCCTGTCTGAGCAAGCGCTTTCCAAAAGAAGCCCGACAGAGTGCCACTTCTCTGCGATTGCTGAAGAAGGCTCGCCATGGCTGCGTCTCAGAGGCAGAACGTGAAAGCTGCTGGTCTGTCTAAATGGTTAAACATTTGCATATTTTCGTCATCATATCCAACTCATGTGACACTGAGTCAGTTAAAGGTTTACCTCAGAAGATCCTCACCGGATTCTTTGATCATGTTTGTACATTTCTGGCCTTGCTGTCATAAATACACAGCTCAGGTTAGGTGACATACCAAGTGACTTGTACCAAGTGACATGTTGTGAAAATACTCGAACGCCATTTACAGTTAAACAGGCTGGGTGTTGCCAATACTATGTACTTTTTTGTTGTTTTTTTTGATGGACCTCTCCCAGTTTTCAAAACTCAATTTACCAACTTGTTACAGACGGCCCATTTCAAAGTATTGATGGTGAAAGGGAACAATAATGTAGGCTTTGATAAATATCCGGTGTTTCCATCTTTGTTATCTAGTCTTGTATTTGCCCAAACAAGACCACTGGTTAATTTTAACGCAAAGTGCCATGTTTGTAGCTGAGGTGATGTCATATTGCTATTGAGTGACAGCCAGATCTTTTTTGTTGTTGTATATAGTGCTTAGGGGCTGGACTCATACTTCAAATCGGCAATTGCTGTTTGTGTTTTCGTTAAAAGTTATCATACAAAATATAAGCATACAACACATTGTGCTGGTCCCTGCGTTTTGTTTAAAGGTTTATAATTTAGCACAGCCTCTGTGCTAGTTTTGATTAGCATGTCTGCCTTTTACTGAATGATAGCATTTAGCTCGTGGACGTTCATTGTTCATTTAATTGTTTTACATGCCAGTATTGCATAGAACAACAGCTTGGAGTGAGAAATAAACAACTTTCACGAAAAAAGTTTGCCGAAGTGGTCGTCAAGTGCCCTACCATAATAAATTGTCTTTAATGTACATTAGATGAGAACACGTGAAGTTCATTTGCCATTAGCAGCACTGTGAATTTGACTTGAATGACTACTACTGTAAGACTATTGTGCACACACTTGTATACATCCACACATGTGCATAATAATCAATCTATGTAGCCAAAGGTAAGACGGTCCAATATTTTATTTGATATTCTAAAAACATTTATAAATTACTTTGTCAAGCCCCTATGTATGTTCAATCCCCCTTTTAGTCCCGGGAGAGAAAATATTCTGTAATCGTCCCTGCATCCCCACTGACAACTGTGATCCTCCTTGCCAAAACCTAAGGGGCGTGGGGGGTCACTTTAAACACCTCACACGACAGGATAATCTAAGGGGTGCAAATGCTAGCATTAGAACCTCGATTGTCAGTATGCTAGTGTACCCCCGCCACCCAAATCGGGTCAATCATACAGTTGTAAAGAAAGACCTATTTTCTGTACATACACCATGAAATACATATCCCGAAGTACAAATTTGGATATTCTCAAAACCTCTTTTTATTGTTTTTAATGTTTTTAAATTCTTGCGTCCCCCTCCCCCTTATGTAACCTTTTTCCCCGATGGCCCAATGTTGGTGTAACTTTCAATCTGAGCAAACTGGAGCAGTTGCTCAAAATCTATGCATTTAATCCTCCTACTTAAAAGTCCACTCACAAAACTATCCGTGGGGCTCGGACAAAAAAAAAAGGCGGGGGGGGTGTTACAAACTACGCACTGAGCTAAACATTACACATCCACAGTCAGTCTTTAAACGCTACACGACATTTTAACAAAACTCAACGACACATGGAGCACAACGTACCGAGTGTAGGGTCCCACGGAGAGTTCAAAACGCGAATTCCGTCCTTTGTGTCGTGGAAAAGAGGAGTTAGTTCAGAGTGGGTCTTGGGCCCCGCGAGACTCCGCGTTGCACTCGAACATTTCCCGGAACAGAGCCGATCCCGAGCAGCTGGGTGGAGCCCACAGGAATCTGTCTCCCACACCCACTTCACTATCCACTCATGCGGACTAGCCCAGCCTTGATCACCAGTGGAATCAAGACATGACGAGACCACGCAACGTATGTCATCGTTTTTCTATAGTTCACGCTCCTAGTTTATTGCGTAAACACCTCTGTATGAGGTCATCTTATAACACGTTCGCTCAACATTATTATCAGAAAAGTGAAATATTTTTTTCCCCAGATTGTTCTTTGAACGTAGTGAATATATTAATCAAACTAGTACATGTATTGTTTCTTTTTATTATTAAAGCATTGTTTCTTCCAACTCAAACACCGCCTTCATGACGTCTGTCGACGGGATACGTTTGCTCAACCGGGGCCTCGGTTTACGGTGATAACGTCATTTGGGGTTTACGAACGGTGCCGGCTAAACTTGTTTGCTCTGTTGTGGTCCGATAACAGGCGCCGCGGTCACTTATTTTTATCACTTGTATTTATCCAAGGAAAATACCTTTGAGAACAGCTTCACATTTCATGGCGACCTAATAAAAATATTACATGTAATTTTGAGATAACACCGTAGTTAATGGTGCATTCCGAGTTACGTAAAATAGGATACAACAAAGCTAAAATATTCGAAGGATTTAACCCCCAACATGAATCTGGTTTATTTGCATGACTTTCCAACACTCGTGCAGATTTTTTTTTGTTTTTAAATATATTGTTCTTTCAGCTCTTCCCGGGGGATACTGAGGCGTTTCCAGGCCAACCGGGAGACAGTGTAGTCTCTCCAGTGTGTCCTGGATTGTACCCGGTCCCCCTGCAGGTGGGACATGCCCAGAACACCTCACCGGGGAGGCGCCCCTCGGCATCCTTATCAGATGGCCTAGCTACCTCATCTGGCTCCTGTCGACATGGAGAAGTGGCTCCAGTTCCACTCTGACCCCTCCCAGATGACCCAGCTTCTCACCTTATCTGTAAGGGAGAGCCCACACACCCTGCGGAGGCAACTCATTTTGGCCGCTTGTATCCGGAATCTCGTTCTTTCGGCAACGACAATAAATATATATTCCACATCAGGCAAATTCTCCAAACAAAATATATTTCGTATTGAGTGACAAATGACAAAAAATAATTACTTTCAAATTCATCCACAATTAGGAATTTTAAAAAAAAAGACAAAATCACAAGAGTTGTTTTCAGATTTTTGTAAACATCAGCATCAGTGCATAATTTTCATAGGCATAGTGATAATACAATGCAGTCTTATTGGAAATCAGGCAATATGGCACTTCAGGAGAGTTTCGGAAATCAGGCAATATGACACTTTAGGAAAGTTTCACTTGGTCCTCATCAGCAAACCTTAGAATCAATGTCTTAGTGAGGGTGTATTTGGGCTGAGGCATTTGCTTGGCGTTTAAAAACACTCCTCTGCTGACCTCCCTATTCACCCGTGTCAAGACAGTGAGAATATCTTCCCCCTGTGGACTGCAAACATCAAACACAAGACATGACAACTTATAAAAGGGACATACTTCGAGGACAACATGCATAATACTACAGCAGTGCAGTGTTTTGAAGGAACACTTGTGCTAGTGTTCCTTCAAAACAAAAAAATAAAAAAATGAAACGCCAGTGCACAATGTCACTTTTTTCCCCATGTGCTTGATGTGAAGTTGTGTTTTGAATTTTTTTTTTTAAATGAAGTTTTCTTTTCAATTTAAAAGGGACAGTGTTATATGTCTGTCTGTCTATATGTCATCTGTCCTGTATGTTACACATACATACAGCACATTTGACAATGAAGTTGTATTCAATTCAATTTAATTAAATTCAATGTCTGATAAATTCCTAGGTTTATTTCAAAACTGCTTAATGTTTTTATTGTACTGTGAATTAATAATGGTGTGTGAGGATAAATGTTGCAAAAAGATCTTATTGTGAGTAACTCTGCGATTGTCACCTTGAGACGAGAGGGTTGCGGATTACTGACATGACGCTCAAGAGAGCAAATGTAATCACATATTTGAATGAATCACAAAAGCTACTGCAGTCCATTCATCTCACCTCACAGCAGATCGTCTGAGTTGCTTGCACAGCTCTTGGATGTAGATGGAACCCGTGTTAGTATTTCGAAAGGACTTGCAATCTGGCACAGTGGCCATGCCGAGCAGAAAGTCGGCATCCGAGGCCACCGTCTCATCCGGGATGGGGCCCGCATCCGTTTCCACTTGATTCCGTGTGTCCTCAGCAACCTCTCTTGGCTTTGAGGACCATGGCAAGAATCCAGTCTGGAAGGCTTTTCCCTGACACGCTTGGATGAAGAACAGTTTAGGTTTTCCTGCCAAGGTGGGGACAAATCCACTTGTAAAGGGCTGCGTCAGTTCTTGTAAAGAAACTGTTTCCCCGTCTGTCCCATGGACACAGCCTTTGGCCCCATGGGAGAGCACACACACAACCTAAAAACAAAAAGATGAAGAGTGTACTTTTTATCCTGATGACAATTGTTCATCTTGGCATCACATGTAAACATAAGATTAAAAAGAAGTATCTCCACCAACAATGTTGGCCTCAAAAAAAAAAAAAAAGTGCCATCTTGCTCACCAGAGCATCATCCTCAGAAAAGTTTCTCGTAGCAATGTCCTTTAGCTCCCTTCTTATTTCTGCTGCTGTCAAGTTGCTATAGACAATCACTTGGAAGCCAAATTTGGAGAACAGTGAGTCAAGAGCCCCTGTGGAATTGGGAAAAAAATAAAAAAGTTTTGACTTGTTGGGTCATTATCCATTTTCTATCCATCTTATCCTGTTTAGTTCTAAGACTCAGGGTTTAAATCGTGGCATTAGCCTTTTCCTGTCTGGAGTCGGCTTGTTGCCTCTGCGCTTGTGTGCACTTTCTCCAGGTACTCCGGCTTCCTCCCACATTCCAATGCATGTCAGCTTTATCGAAGACTGAATGCGACTGTGAATGGTTGCTCGTCTGTATGTGCCATGCGACTGGCTAAAGCGACCAATCCATATTGCTTTCTGAATGTGGGCGGCAGCTGGAGTACCTGGAGAAAGTGCAAACCACTAATCCAATGTGCTGACTCTAATGGCCCGATGACTATCTTGAATCTTTTCCTTGGAGGGGCAGCAATGCAGATAACAGCTTCATCATTCAGGGCAAAAGCACTGGAGGTGAGGGAGCCATCTGGATCAGGATTTCTCAGAGTAAAACACTTCCGCGATTCGCACCAAAAATATAACATTGTTCATTCGTCGAGTTGAGCTGAGTGACTTGATGAAAATACGCACTCTCGTCCGCTTGAGTTCCACCCCTTTTTGTCAGCTCCTTAACCAAAAATTCCTCGTTGTTGATGATTACACAGACACCATGAGGGATGTGATTCATTGCGTAGTACTCGGTCTGCAGCACAAGCATACAAACAAATATCAATAATTGAGACGATCATGAAAGTTACTGGATGAATGACCTCTCAGTTGCACACTGAAAAAAAAAAGCTCTCTTCAAAAAATAAATGTTTCTTATTTCCAGTGTAAACATCTGACTGCACCTACTTCAACAGTTGTGACTTTTTTCTGCCGTCAGCGTCACAACACTACAACTCCCAGAGTTCATTTTGACACTTCTCACAAGCTTTGCTGTGCTGCCTGTGTTTGGATGTGTATTATCTCTATGCTGCCATTTTATTGTATAAAAAAAGCCTAAAAATAATTGAGTTATTATTGCCGCCGGGTTTCCATAGCAACCACATTTCACTGGCGGGATTGATTTTCGAGAAAAGTCCCCATGGTCAATTAAAAAAATAAAACAGTTGTATCGTTACAAGAGGTATGACATCTTTTTCAAAATATTGACGGGACTAAGTTGAAGGATGAGTGAGACAGTGAGTCTGAGCAACAGTGCCTCCACCCCAGCAAAGACGAGCCGTGTTGCACGTGACACAGTTCGAGGTATTCTTAGTTTAGAGTAAAATACAAACCAAGTTCGCTGGGGGACAACAAGCTCTGTCTGAAGCTCCAGCAGCTAACTCGTACCCATGTGTGAAGGACGGTAGACTGTGGACTCTGGTGGCTTTATGAGATAATTAATATTAAAAGAATTCCTCCATTATATATATTTTAATTAATTGTCCGATGAATCGGTTACTGGAATGTTTTTCTGCCATATAGAATTAGAATTGGCAAAAAAAATTCATACCTGTCGGACCTTAGTTTTTTGAGTCAAATTATAAAAAAATATATATCATTAAAAATTAAGTTTGATTTGAGAACGAATGTGACTAAATACCAGTGGCTCACAACTCAAAATAAACCTCAAAGATGCACCAGCTAAATGATCTTATTTTGAAAAAAACTTAACTCAATTGTGAGATTCTTTCCCCATATTTCTAGGGACAAATTTTCTTCTTTTCAGTATTTCTTTACTTGTTTGGTAAATTTTCCAGCGCACATCTAAACGGATACCTGATCAGAAAGCGAAGAAGGCTCGGGGTTTGTTTCGGCGTCTGAGGGAAAATGGCCACCATCATCTAAGGAAAAACAAAACAAACAACCAAAACGGTCATAACTTAGCGGCTATATATGAAAATGCCATGGCTTGTGAATAATACAGTTTGCAATACATACTGCTGGCTCCAGTCTCAGATATGGACTCAAGAGGGGAGTTGTTGACATGCTGCAGGAAGAAATCACACTCAGTCGAGCGGCTAATTTTACTCTTGGCATTCCCGAGCAAACAGAGGCATACAGAGACGCACCTGGAAACCATTGAGGGGGCGAGCAGGAGGTGGACTGGCTGCCTCCACAGGTGCACCTACAAGTGAGAAGGATTTGATGAATTTGGAAAGAACACAGTGCTATGATGGCATGTCTTATGGTTTGATGTGGACACCCCCAGCCCTCCACATGGACTCTCTGTTCGGGCACCCCGGAATTCAGGTGAAGGCTACACACATTTTGTATCGCTAACTCGAGTAATCAGTCAAACATAAATACAGGTATTGTAAGCCAGAGCGGTCATTCAAAGAATGCCCAGTCAGCACCTTGCGCGAATTGCTCGACAGTCGATGCCAGCTGTCGATTCACTTCCATCAGTATTGAATGCAGCGCTTGTAGATCTGATTGAGACAGCAAACCCACTTTTTCTAATTCAACAAAGACGTCCAGCGCCGTCTGGAAATTTGCGGAAAAAATAAATAAATCAGTAAGTATGAACCGTTTGGAGTGAATAGAAGAGTGAGCACACCCACGTGTGGTCAAGCATGTAATACAAACAAAGTTACACTATGTTGTCAGTGCACAATATAAAATTTGAATGTGAATATGGGTGCACAAATCTTGAGTGGGTTTTCTTACACTGCATTCATCCATTTGTCTCCTGCCAATCTTGTCGTTTAAGAGAAACTTCATCTTTTGGAGATCTTCTTTCGTCGTTTCATCATATATCTGATACAGCATCACCCTATTCACAAAGCATGGTGGAGGATTGGAAAATAGGATGAGTGCCGAGCACAAGGTAAACAAAAACAAAACGAAATATTCTTGCTGCTTTTACCTGTAATTTGACAGCTTGCCGATAGGATTGGCATCAGTTTCCTCCACATTCTGTCTGTTCCCCTTTAAGAGGCTGAGGAGATCATTCCGTCGGATTGTGTGCAGTAACTGATGAAGAAATTCAGGATTCTGGCAATCTCTTTCTTCCAATCTACTGAACAGAACCTTTGCGTCATTGACCTGTATTGGAAAGACAAAGTACACAATTTTCAGCAAAAGTTAGAAAAGTGTTTACCAATGAAAATACTGTGCTTCGCTCAAGTGTGAAACATTCTACATTGTTTAATCTGCACGATATTTGCGATCCAAATAAGTGTAAAACAGTCTAATACTGGATGTGATCCTCACTCCTTCGAGATGTCTGCAGTTAAGAACATCACGGCACAAGAAGCAGAGTGCGGCCACTTCAGAGGAAGCCAGGGCCTCGGAGATTTCCATCAACTTCCGCCTCTCCATCCCAACCCCACTTTGATGGGAAACTTCTAGACATTGTTAAAGAGAAATTGGGAAAACATAACATAATAAACATGAAAGGTAAAGATTAGTTTACACAATTTAAAAAAGGGAAAAAGTTCAAATCCAAAATAATGCTTATATCATAAACTACCATTAAGGTGGGAGACAAAACGGGCTGATTTGATATCTTCAACAAAAACATGACAAAACAAAAGCGAAACTTTGAAATTCTGTCTATCGACCGAGGGGCAGGGATAAACATGAAAGGTAAAGATTAGATACAATTAAAAAAGGGAAAAAGTTCAAATTCAAAATAATGCTTATATCATAAACTACCATTAAGGTGCGAGACAAAATGGGCTGATTTGATATCTTCAACAAAGACACGACAAAACAAAAGCGAAACTTTGAAATTCTGTCTATCGACCGAGGGGCAGGCCTACAACATTCCCAGAAAATTACAATGTCCCTTCACTGGTGAGCTATATTTGGAGCAGGCCTGCGGGCTACTGATCAAGTCATTTGGGGCTACGTGGTAGGTGGCCCGATCTTGGAGCGTCTCGTCGAGGTATCTCCCAATAGTTGAGGTTGCGTGATAAGTTTATTTTAGCGAGACAAAATGGGCTGATTTGATATCTTCAACAAAGACACGACAAAACAAAAGCGAAACTTTGAAATTCTGTCTATCGACCGAGGGGCAGGCCTACAACATTCCCAGAAAATTACAATGTCCCTTCACTGGTGAGCTATATTTGGAGCAGGCCTGCGGGCTACTGATCAAGTCATTTGGGGCTACGTGGTAGGTGGCCCGATCTTGGAGCGTCTCGTCGAGGTATCTCCCAATAGTTGAGGTTGCGTGATAAGTTTATTTTATCTTAAAATTTTAAATCCAAAATATCGATGTCCATGTTTTTATTTTTCAGCGCATTGGTGATGCTGCTCCGACAGCGTATACACGCAGATTAATGACAGTCGACGATCAAGTCATTTGGGGCTACGTGGTGGGTGGCCTGATCTTGGAGCGTCTCGTCGAGGTATCCCCCAATAGTTGAGGTTGCGTGATAAGTTTATTTTAGATTAAAATTTTAAATCCAAAATATCGATGCCCATGTTTTTATTTTTCAGCGCATTGGTGATGCTGTTCCGACAGCGTATACACGCAGATTAATGACAGTCGATGGAGTTGCTGGTTTGACTTCGTCTTCCCGAAACGGCGTGAAGTCAACAAAAAGTATTGCAAAAGCCAAACTACGTTCAAGATTTTGAAATGATACACGATTATTTTCTCGTTACTACAACAAAAGTAACGTTAACGCCGAATGACAAAAAAGCAAAACACTTTTATTCAGGTAAGACAGTCCAATCGACTTCAGAGGCCAAAACTTACCGCTGTTGGGACGGTTGTCTTTTGGAGCCCAGTAGAGAAAACTCACACACTTCTTTATAGGTACAGTGGCGACTCAGTATCAAAAAAATGTTACTTTTTAAAAACTTATCTGATCAATTAGGCCTCGATACTGTACCGGGGAGTTTATTGCTGAAGTTCTTACTTTTGTTTTGTCGGTTGCATCTGACGAACAAGGTGCGTTACTGCCACCTACTGTACTGGAGTGTAGGTTCGAGACCGAATGTACCAAACGTACACGACTCTGAAGCAATAAATAATCAACAAACTCACTGTATCTTTAATATTCATCTCAAAACTAAGTTACATAGTCAACATTCACAAACCCGATCTGTCGGTGTTTAATGGTGGCTGTCAAATGTGTTTAGGTAAATTATCGCTACCCACTAGTGAGAAGTGTTTAGCTATGTTTATTCAACAGCAATACAGAACATGCATTGAAAAAACATAAAATCGTACACTTATTTCCAGTGTGGATAATACAGCATATTAATGACATTTAATTTGTATTTTGCAGTATTTTACAACATAATATTTTTATTCTTCGTTCTTTCCAAAGATCTGTCACTTGTAATCCCTTCCGTGGCACATTTATCAATTAATTCCTTCTGGTGATTCTTCTTGTCTTCAATGACATTTTCTTGAATGCGTTCCTATTTTGAAAGGTGTGCTGTCCATTCAACTCTGCCCAAATGTATCATTTGTTATAGCACTTATTTTCATAAGGGTGAATGGAGTGCTGGGGCCTATCCGATCTGACTTTGTGTGAGAAGCAAGCTATATCCTGGATTGGTCGCCACCCAATCGCATGCAATGTCACACTGAGAAACACATTTTCTTTTGATCACACACACTAATGCCATATGTCACTAACATAAAATAAAGGTAGCCAGTGTTGATGAATGAACAGCTGTTATATAAACTTGTGATTGTGAAAATGTGAGATATCAACGTAATCAGGTATCTAGGCTTGTGTTTGAGGTGAAGGGGAGGAAGTATTCTCTGGCAAACTGGAAGACATCATTTGGTTTTTTGAGGAGCAAAAATTGCAGGAAGTCAGATATGAGTGCGCGGATCTCTGGGTGCGCTCTTAAATATGACGCATGGTCAGCTTTCAACTCCTCCTGCAACAATGCCACAAACACATACCATGTTCAAATCTATTTGGAGGAATTAACAAGGCACACTCAGATGTACAGAATTATCCAGAATACAGGTACACTCACTGGCCAGAATGCTGTCATGGTTTAGTAAGTCTCAACACAAGATCTGTAGAAAATACTGTAACTAACCTTTTGAAAGAGTCCATTTTGATAGTGAGAGTCAGGGAGGTACAGTAATTTAGCAATAGACGTATAACAGTACAATGGCGCTGTTGATAATCATTTGGATTCCTTATTTAGCTCTTTTGCATTCCCCCACAAGTCACGGGGGGATAAGGACTAAAACATGTCTTCCAGCGAAAATGCCCGAGTCACCAATGCCCCTCCAAAAGGTTTAAAATTGCCTATGTAAGCCATAAGGTGGTAGAAAAGCACTTCTTTCATATAAATTAGACTTCTCAACTAACTTCAACATAGTTCATTGCCGCCAATATGCCACATGAAAGCCGATTATGGGCGGGTCAGGAACGTACCCTGCAACTTGTGGGTTCAGTGTTCAACACGGGTGTTCTCATGATTGTAAAGGCATATATTTTTTAATAAATCTATTGCATTTGTATATAGTTACCTTGTACTTGTGTACTTGATGAAGTGTACGGATGGCGTTATTACTTTAATTGAAATTTTTTTCTTACCTTTCTGTCCAAGAACTTAGAACGCATCTGTATGTCTTCTTCCCAAACCAGGGGGATTTTATCATAAGCTATGAAAATGTAAACACATTTACATATCAACAAAGCCCATTATATGACAGAATAGTATTTGAAACATAATGCGGGTGTGAATACCTTCTTCTTTCTGTGATGGCAGTTGCAGTAACCTCATTGTAACCGGAGATCCCACCTGCAATCTGCTAGCAAGATGCCTAAAGAAACAAGAATCTCCGGTGTACTTTATACTCAATGACATTAGGTGCTTTTTGTCACTGGAAGAGCACAGAAGTCACAAATGCATAAATATAGTATAGATGTAGTAGTGCTAATGTACGGAGCCCCTCGAGTGGTAGGGTATAAGAAAAAAAAAAAAGCTAATCTGTTCCCTCAATTTACTCATGTGGACCCACAATTTTGTATCCTGTTCCCACGGCATACTAATCTGTACCCTCAATTAGAAATCCATTCCCACATTTTACTAATAGGTTTCTAAAGAAGACTTTAAGATTTACCATTTAAGAAGAAGAAACAGTAACCTGACGTGATGTTGAATGGATCCTGTTTCATAGCTCTCCGTGAAATATAAACTTTCAACAAAGTGATTAAAAAATACAAGATTGAGTGACTTGACAGCTGGGGTTTTGTGAAGCGTGAAACTTTTCTTCAGCATTTTAATCTGCATTGATGGAATGGCTCTTACCCATCAGCCAAAAAGTAGCACTGCCATGTAGTAGGGCTTTCATCCACAGAATGAACAATCCTCTCCACTCCAAATACCTCCACAGTTTCTCCCTCAATCTCCATCTGTTCCTGTTCCAGACCTCGCTGGCCACACACAAACATAAGATCGCATGTGTGCATGTGAATAGAAAGTGATGTTTACATTGTCTACGAATGGACAGAGGTTTACAATATGTGAATGGACAAACAGATCATGACAGGGTTTGTTGCTGGATTACATGACAGGGTTTGTGTATGTGAATGGAAGGATGTTTATATTATGTGAATGGACCAAAAACCAAAAACACATACGGCGGTTTTGTCATCACTTACAAAAGTTGTGCAGCTGATGCGTAACTTCTGGTCAAAGGAGATGCAAGTCATGTGCTCTGGGATTTTCTTCCTCAACGCAAGAAGACGCATGAGCAAGAAGTTGGAACCCTCAGTCACAAGGCCTCTCAGGGCAGTCATGGAATATGAAACACTGTCCCTTGTCACCTCCTGGGGACACACACACACAAAATCTCACGCCGGGTTAGGACTTGAGTTTTATTATATTGCGCCGGTTTGGGTCGTGCATTTGGTATCTGGGTCTTTCGTGGGGATTTACCTGACTTAATTGATCTTTTAGTAAGCATGACTATCATGTCACAATCATAGAAACCATCAATAGAGTGCCTAAACCTAACACAGGTATACACAATCAAATTTGTATTCACCTGATATCTCTCAAAGACATTCTGATCCCAAGTGCTCTGATATGAACATTTTTTCTGACACTTTCTCCTTGGGTTACATTTTGGTCAAAACTCACCTTTCCATCAGTGGTGACTCTTTCAATACTCATCTCTCCATCACATTGCACCATGTGACATTGCTTGTCCAAAATATGGCCATCAAGCTAAAAAGAAAGTCACGTCTTTTTTAACGGTATCATGGGAGTCATGCCGTGAATGCATTTCCTGGAACGCATTCGGGTGGGTGACTTGCCTTGACATACTCGTGGTGATCCTCCTCCAGCACCTCCAGGTCAGCAGTTAGGTAGGCTAACATGGCAAACCAAATGGAAAGAGACAATACCATTAGAATTAATAACATCCAATAACATCCAAACGCCTGCATCAGAAATTTGGCCTTGTTCAGACTGATGTTGCAAAGAGTTTTTTGGGGTAATGAGCTTTTCAGGCTGACAAAAATGGATCATGCCAGAATTGCACAGTTACAGCAGTGTTACTGACCTCATAGCAGGTGTATGAATGATCAATAATCAATACTATTGGCAGAAATTGAGAAAAAAAAAAGTTTTTGCTGAGAGCCCCGTGGAGGCATGGCCCGGGTGTGGCCAGAATGTTCATGTGCAGAAAGGTTAGGCAGGGCCCCCACTCACCTGTCACTGTCGTTCCACATGGGGAGTCGTCGATAGCCCCCTGGCTTTGTGCGTGGAGCAGCACACATGGCTGGTGAGCTCTGTGGGCAAACTCCATTGACACGCAGAACCTCCCCAAGTCTCGACCCCCTTCTGAAATGGTCACCAGAGAGTCCGCAAACACACATTTGGTCAGCTCCACGGGCTCTGGCAAAGACAAGATTGTGCCTTTGAGTAAAAAAAACATCAGCTGCTCATTCTTACTTTTCAAACAGCGCTTTCCCCTACTGCAACGACTGTATTTTTAACGTTGGTCATGATGGTGGTACTTGGAGAGCTAAGGATTTAGCTGATACTGGGCATAAAATGTTCAAGACAAAAGGTTTTATTTAGTAACAGGGTTGTGCATATGCAGTGAGAAACAGCTTTGAGGCACAATCACAACAATTTAAATGAAAATGTTTCACAATACAAGAACGACATATCAACAAAATCATACCAAACAAATCAGATGTATTTTATCTGCTATAATTGGGCATCTAGCAGAAAGGAAAGGGGAAAAAAGACATTGTAGCGCCCAAAGGCGATTGAATTCAAATGTAGGCATTATTTTATTTATTTATTGTGCATGGATTATTTAAAATCTCGTCCCAATTCTCCAGTAACGTTTCTGGTGGTGGTGTGAGCGTCTCAACGGGTGCCAAAAACAGGTGGTCGTGTTCTCAGAGGGGGTCTTGTATAAACCTGGTTGCCAGTGGACTCACCGATGCTTAACATGAACGCGACCGCTTCTTCGGAGGCCACCATCTCTGAAACATCCTTTCCTGTCTTGGTCCCTGCCGGGGAACGCGGTGGAGTCTCAACCCTTTCAGGAGACTCCATGTTTGTCCTGCGTTGAGAACAGACTTCCCACTCGTGATGGGAACAGTCGACAGTGTGACACGACGGACGACGAATAGGACACACAAATTGTGATCGACAGTATGTGCGGGTCTTTTCCTCTTCTCGGTCGTAAATCGTCTTTTATGTTTTCGAGATCAGACGACAGACGCGTTGTCAAGAGTTGTCACGGCAACCGCAGCTCAAGTGCCGTAAAGTTGCGTGTCAGTGGGCAGGCCGATTTGGAAATAAACGGTTGCACAAGAAACGATTTGGTTTCATTATTGGAAAGATCGTGACTCGTAAAATTCAGAACAAAAAAAAACAAAAAACAAAACAAAAACAAGAGTGACAAAATGTTGAAAACAAACCCCCTCTTCAAATCCTGAATACTTGTGGGCATTTAGCATGATGTAATTAGCCAGTCCAATTGACAAATAATTTCTTTTGAACGTGTCATTTAATTGTTGCTTGCTTCGTTTTTCTTTTAAATTCACAAGTTTGCATTGTACTTATTCTTAAATAACATTACAATACTTGTAAATACTGTAAAAATATTGAATACAAGAAACTGGCAGTTTCCTGACGCTCATGAACAGTATGTGACATCATACTTCTTCTTTCTCCAGAAATGTGACATTCTTCCGACAGAGAAGGAAGGAATGTCAACCAAGTAAGAGGTAAGAACTTTTTGTCCAAGTTACGATCTTTTAATGCTAACATTTCACATTAAAAAGGGTAAGAAGAGACATTTACCATACATCCTGACAATAGAGGCGATTAGTCAAATTGATGTGTTGACAAAGCATTGCTAGCTGTATTGTTGCTGAACAATATCATACATTAGACACGTTTATGTAAATAGCACCCACAATTGAAAGTAACTGGAAGGTTAGAAGGACAATTTTCTATCATATATATAAAAAGTGTGCGGATTTAGTTGTTTCCTGGATGACAGCTTCTTTCTGTGACAAAGACTGACAAAGAGGAAGTTTCAGACGTCGGTCAAGTATTTTGCATTTGCTAAAAAACCGCATTAGATGAGAAGTGTGGCCTCAAGAACATCTATTCACTTTCTTTGCTTACTTGAATTTCTGCGTGTGCAGTTGCAGGTTGCCCACGAAGATGTGTCCAATTCATCCACTAGTTTATTGGAGTCTGCTGATTCTGTGGGCCTTTCAAAGCGGTAAATAACAATTGATCATTCCTAAACGCACAGGAGGCGCACTCGCGGTCACGCACGCATGCACACGCGCACGGACACTGTCAAAACAGATAAGACGATACAGATAGGCGTTACAGATCGCTGACGAAGAGCGCAGATCCGAGCCGAAGATAGATTCTACGCATGCGCAAACGGAAAGGGCCTGGCAGGCAAATACAAAGCGAATTCCTCACAATCTTGCGTCACCGTATGGACCCATATTGTGTCTGAAAAACGCTCATCGAAACGTGAAATAAAAAGCGGGGATGAGAAACTACCCCGAGTCTTCTGTTTAGATCGTCATCAAATGAACGTAAACTGACGTAGCGGTTTATTTACACTAGGTGGTGCCAATGAGCATAGATGATTGAATATAGTCAATGTCAAGAGGACACACTTGGGTAACAAAATTAACACCCGACAGCCACATATTTGAATACTTCTGCTCAAATGAAACATTAGGCACGTTCAAACAAATGCTGAAAATCCAACAGTGTTGTGCAGCTGATCTAAAGGTAATACTTGGGGACGGGGGGTACTGTGGCTCTACGTCGTGAAAAACAGTTGCATTAACACCACTCCGTAGTAAAATAGCTTTAGTAGTTTACGATGTAAGGCTTTTCATATGATCTCATTTACAAGTTACATTTTGGAGAATATGCCTATTGTTTGTCAAGCAGTTGATGGACATGTTTTTGCACAGAAACCGAAACAAAAACAATACGATAAACAGCGATCTTGATGGTGCATCTCTCTCTCTCTCTCTCTCTCTCTATATATGGTGTGTATTAAATAGCGCTATCTAATATACTGTATATTCTTTATCAACAGAGACCACCAAAGGAGAGGTCTGCCAAGATGAACTATCAATTGATAATGTATGAAACACATGCTTGAACTTCCAAGTTCCTAATCTGTGTGAATACAATTTGCTTAAATTGGCATTTATTTGTGTTCTAGCTCCAAGTGTCGAGTTTCTCAGGACAAATGTATGACTCCGTGAATATTGCCGAGGATGACAACTTTCGCTGCTTCCTTTATCCAACAAATCTTCTCAACTGCTCGTGGAACTTCCCCACTTCGCTTCAGGATGCTCAGCTCTCTATTTATATAAGGTTTATATCTTCAGCATCTTTATTACAGTACTTGCACATTACCCTGCGGCGCATATGAAGATTTTCAAAATGTTGACACCTTTGGATTTTGTATCTTTTTTTTTTTTTTTTTGCTATCTCTGCAGCATTTGTGATAATAACAGCACAGTTCACTCCCTCAATCTTATATCTGAAGAACATTCTGGATCAACTTCCATTGTTCTGAGGGAACATGAGAAGTTGTATGTCATCATGCAATTCAATGTGTCCCTGCACCGTAAATGGGCTGTCTACAACTACGTATACGACACCGAAATGATGGGTAACAGACAAAAAAAAAAAACTGTGCAACTGTGGCAATACTGTTGATGGTGTATGAAAAGTGAGTCGCTCCTGGATCAAACCGATTTGTATTGTATTGTGTTGACAGAGGTCTTGCCTCCACCTGGAAACGTTTCGGCTTCAATCAAAGATGCAGGCCTTGTGGTGACTTGGGACATGCCCCGCGGTCGTGCTAACTACCAACCCTCATGCTTTGAATACCAGTTGGATATGGGACACCAGGTATTATACTGTATGAATTCACTGTACTGTATATCCAAATGTTATCCTGTACATAAAATCTACAATACAGTATATGTATAAATGACTGTGATTCATTGGCGAACAGGAAGAATCACCAATCCAGAGATGCGATCTGTTTTATACAATCCCAAATGCCAATCCAGAGTCCACATACAATGTGAGGGTCAGAACCAGGAAAACGGCTGGTTGTTTTGGGCCAAAATTATGGAGTGATTGGAGTAACACTGTTAGTAAGTATGAAGTCATTCTACCCTAAAATATTACGCCAGCGCTCGTGTTGTTGTTTTGTTTTTGCCTGTCCACACTTGCAAAAAGGAAAATAAGATCTGTTATTGTCACGGCTACCTTGTGCTTCTTTCAGGGCATTATGTTGGCTTGGGGTTACGCCTGTATTTTCTAGTTGTCACTATCAAGCCTACTAAAGTGCAATCAGCTCAGTTCCGTGTACAGTATGCACTCACTACATACATCTTTCTTTTACAGCAAGAGAACAGTCATTTTACACACTCAACATCACGGTGATCGTCGCAATTGCAGTCGGAATACCGATGATCCTCCTGAGTTTGCTGCTCTTCGTCCGCAATCAGAGGTACTGTGTCTTGGTTTCAAAATGGGACTCTGAAATGAGTGACAAGAATGAGTTAACTAAAATATGGTTCCTGATAGGTGCAGTACAGGTATCGTAATCAATTCATTATTAAGAATCCATCCATCCATCCATTTTCTGATCCGCTTAATCCTCGCAAGGGTCGCGGGGCGTGCTGGAGCCCATCCCAGCCGTCTTCGGGCACTAGGCGGGGGGACACCCTGAACCGGTCACCAGCCACACAGAGATTAACAACCATCCACGCTCACACCCACACCTAGGGACAATTATGAATGTTCAATCATGCATGTTTTTGGAATGTGGGAGGAAACCGGAATACCCGGAGAAAACCCACGCAGGCCCAGGGAGAAACATGCAAACTCCACACTCTGACGGAATGTTTCTCTTTTATGTCACTTTGGCACTCATTTGAAAAGAAGTTCCAAACCAAATGACTGTTTCCCCTCACATACTCTGGTAAATCGACGTTTTATTCTCTGTTTTTTTAGGGTGACACAAGTTCTGTATCCCACAATTCCTCGTCCCCCATTAAAGTACAAATATTTCCTGGAGGAAAATAATGTATTCAATGTAAGGACATGACTACACTTGTTCTCACACTGGACAAGCAATCTCTCTCATATCGAATGATCAACAAGAAAAATGTTTTGACTTTCATGTTTGTTTGTTTTTTTTTTTGCAGTTTTATCATCCCAATCCATCTGTGAAGTATGAGGAGGAGATTACAGTGGTGGAGGACACAGAGAAGCAGTTGATGAAGTCATTGTAATGGCAAGGATGAAGGGATTATTATGACATTGTCATAATTATTCTTTCACAATAATAATCCTTTCATTTCTTTTCATCAAAATTGGTTTTTTTTTACCAGTGTTAGAGGAATTTATGAGCAAAATTGTATCATGTTTAAAGTTTCATTTAATTTGGACACATCTAAACGTTTGGGCGCGTATCCAGCACTTCCAAATGCCTGTGCACAAAGGCGCCGGCCACCTGGCCGGAGGGCTGTTGAAGTCCACAATTAGCACGTCAATGCAGGTGGGCAATCACAGGGGAGGGGGCGAAACTCGGTCACAAAAGGGGAATGAATAATTTGGGAACAGCGGTTGAACAACAAAAGACGAGTTGAGAACACCCGTCGCGCCCAGGCGACATTTGTCGTCCGCGAAGTCTGCAACATGTTGATACAGTGTGGACCAGACAGAAAGGCGCCAATGTACTGGTGGTTCAAAGCTTAAACTCAGGTAACCAATCACTACCGAGGGGCCGGACCGGGGGTGCGGTATGCAAATGTCGGGGGCAGTGTTTTCCTTGTATGTTACAATAAAAGTCGGAATTGGCGGGAAGGGAGCTCGAGAGTGTGATCATCGGAGCAACTACCGTCGTTCGCTCTCAGAGATCCCCCTCCCGCCGATATTGAAGACAATTTTCCTGTGTGCCGAGTCATTTCTTTAACTTTGTCCGAGAAAATCTTTGACAACCAGGTGAGCTATTCAGCTAGCTAGTGACCGTGAGAGGTTAGCGGGCTGTTAATAGCAAGCAGCTTTTGTGCTTCAGTAATGCAATCGCCAAAGACTTCGCTTTATTGATTGACTTCTTGATATTTGACGACATCTGACTAGGTTTTATCATCAGGCGCAAAGGCACGCTAAGAGTTCAAATGCACATTGTTGTGGTTATTCATACATACACTGCATATAATAATGAGGGTCACAAAGGCATCAGGTCAAATGTTGCATCTGTAATAATAAATTGGATTGAAGAAATAGATTAGGACTGCTCAAGGGATTTGAGGGCATGGCATATTTGTGTACATTTGGATTGGATTGGATAAAACTTTGGATTGGATTGGATAAAACTTTATTGTCAAATGTGCTGTTTTGCTAAAACAAGTCAGACCAGGAATTGTGAAATACTCTACTGCACTGCCAAGGTCAAGTGGTTGGTGAAACTGCAGCCTGGGATTATTTGTCAAAATGATTTAAAGCTGCAACATGTCCCTGTCGGCGGATCAGACCGTGAGATTTTATTTATTTATTTTTTTGGTCCTGATATGATTTTGTAATTTGACACAAATGACAGACAGAACACCGGTGATGGATGTCCCTTTACTGCGTTACTCTTCTCATTTTCAGTTTGTCCGCTTGATGAATGCACCGTTGGCCAACAACGCTGCCTGAATACACATTGTAGATGCACGCAATCTCTGTGCAAGAGCTCATCCTCCTCCTTTGGATCGCAGTGTCACCATTTGCAAAATTGATGACACACAAAGTGATTCGGAAATGTCATGGTACAGTACCTTTCAGCCCTATGTTTTAATTAGCCATGAGAAGGATTAACCACAATTAGCCATCCAAAGGAACCTGAGCTTCTCTCAAAGGGGCCTGAAAATGAACGACACTCTTGTACTGCAAAGAAAGAGAAATAGATGGAGTATGGCAGCACTAAATGAAGCCATTAAGGTGGCGCAAGTCACCACAGAATCTATCCAACCATCCATTTTCTGTCCCTGGAGTTGCTGAAGTTTCCCCCCCCCGACTTTTTTTTTGTCCACACGTCATTGCAGTGGTAGGATCAGAAATAAATAAAAATACCATTTACATGAGACAAGTCACCGTCATTTCAATCATAGGCATTGTAACTATTTAATGGCTCCCATCCAATTGATGCCCCAATTATTGGCCTTTAAAAAAAAAAAAAACAATTAAAGCATCTAACCGTAATGAAACTTTTCTAGCATACTCTTAATGCTTTCAGCATTGGTATTGAGTAACATTATTTGTTGCATAATACACATGTACTATAACAGTAAAGAAAATATAGAGATACAATATAAACAATAGTGCAAGAGACAAATTGATAGCAACATAAAGAAAGGAGCCAAAGCACTTCTCATTCAAAAATGTACCAAAATACATTTTAGAAACTATGACTTTGGAGTTTCTAGCTGTTAAAGTCGCATACTGTACTTCTCAACCTTAAAAAAAATGTCCGAAGTGGGAACATAGTACATAAAAACCTAATGTAGAGATCGTTGACAGTCAAACCATCAGACGTGCCTTCATTTTTGGCCCAAATCTCTGGACGGTTGGTCAGCTCTTCTTTTGTCCAGTCCCCAGTGTGCTGATGGCCTGCAGCTCCCCAGAAAACCTCTGGCCCAGATCTTTGTTTTCTTGCAGGAAACCATCCAGCATCATCAGCTGCTCAGTGTCCTGGGAAAAGAAAAAGCAATGCTTAAACCGGTCTCACGGTATCCGTTTGATGTACAGTAAAAAGACGACAGCGATGAACGTTTACATGATTCGTAGGATTAAAAACACATATGAAGCAAATATTTTGGAGAGCAAGACGCCAAAAATATGAACGTCGTGTAGAAATGAAATGAGCGGATTTCAATTTCTCACCACGGTCTCATCTTCAGCCAGATGCCGCAACTCCCGCAGCCTCTCTTGTAGTAAATCAGTCTCCCATTGGCTGATTGATTCAGGCCTCAGGCCGCTATGGTAAACCAAAGAATCAGCAGCTAGTGCCATGCCAGTATAATCCACAGTGTCCATAGCACATATTGACAAATCGACTGCCAGCATCTACAAGACAAAGGTGTGAGGCGTGAGTCGAAATGTGTCCTATGCCGCAACCGCTAAAGTGCTGCACAAACACGGACGGACGGAGACGCTCACCTGAGCAAGTCTTGGTTCAGCCAGCGCCATGCTGGGTACTTGGCTGAACAGCTGCACAAAACGTCGCAGTACAACCTTGAATTTTTTCATCCACGCCTCCTTCACATGCAGGTCAGGAGAATGCATCAGATCATTCCTGCATCTGATCAGCTGCAACACACACACAAGACACCCTCTTTTTTTTTTTTTTTTTTTGCACATAAGAGGGTGCTACTGCAGCGGTCACTACTCGGGCTGGAATAACGTAGCTCACATTTCTGATCAGCTGCAACACACACAAAAGACACCCTTTTTTTTTTTTTTTTTTTGCACATAAGTGGACCAAAAAAAACATGTTCATCCGATCATGGATGCCCAGATCAACATATAACATAAACGCATGCAATCTTACTTGCAGTTGAATACAAAAGTGACACTTTGCATTCAGTTTCATGAATCAGGAAATGGAAAAAAAAATTCAAGCACTTTTGTACAGAAAAGCGCAGATGCTTACCTCCCTCACATGAGACGAATGGACATCTACAGATCCAAAACAGTCACAGAAGTTGATGAGGTTGAGCAGCGCAGAAGGATCGCACTGATGTGCCGCATTGACGTGGGCCTGACCTCGTGGCATGTAAGCCTGGAGAAACAAACACCAAAAGGAGCGGACAATTTCTGCTAACTTTATGATGGAATGTTAGCTGGCGAACTTGGTTCTACTTCAAGTGGAACACTTTAAAAACAGTCGGAAAACAGACACAGAATGTCGTAGAAGGTGCTGCACCAGAAATTATACTTAAGACCTTGTAGGATGACAACCTGGGTGGACAGCCCAGTCAACTCGCTACTAGAAAGCTACAGGGAGCCGAAAACCCTCCCTCTTGGGACATGTCGCTGGCGAAATTTGGGAAATAAAAATATTTTAGTTCGACAGTGCATTGTGTACCTTGGCCAACTCCCAGTGGTTTGTCCTCCACGCAGGAGGAGAACAGTTGTCCCAGTTCAGGGTGCTACCGGGTTGTCTGTGGTGGTTGAGGATCTCAGACTTCCACTGTAAACAAAGCCCGCATGCCCTGGAAAGCTGCACAGGCATTTCATTGGATTTAAAATCATTGGCTTCGTGTACCTTGGTAGATTTTTCAGTTATTTGTGCTTTACCTGAATATTTCAGCCTGAATATTCAATATATAGAGATCACCGTATATTAAATGCAGAACGTGTGAGTACTTTTGCCACGTCTGTTATAAACAATACACTCAACAAACGACGTTGACCTCAGAGACCGCGAAAAGTAAGTGACGCATATGTTACGTTTAACTTTAAACTGCCAAATGGAAAGTGATTTCACACCTTAATGTCCCCGGACTGACAGGATCGCGGGCATTGTTCACGGAGACGAGGGTTGTCACGGAGTAAAGCTCGGTGAAAAGCCCGCATCTGCTCATCGGTGTAGGGGTGGAGGGCGTCCTTCAAGATATACAGACATCGTCCCGCTTTCAGCCAGTTTGTGTATTCTTTGTCGTTGAGACGCACCACAAGTTCCTCATTCATCACGTCTCCTGATTTCGTAGATTTCTCCAAGACGATGAGCAAAGTCCAAAGAACTTCACATCGAGGAAATGGAAGAGGAGCTCCGCCCCCCTCGCTTCGCAGTCACTCATGTCGTCGTTAGATGGCGCTGTTGACCCTCTCTTTACTATGAACGCAAAATTTTCAACACGGGTAAACAACAAACCGACTGAAGAGTTACATATTCGGAAAAAAAGCAATTTCTTGTCTAATACTTGGAGAAAAAAAAAGAAACGTAATTGTTACGTTTTGTATCGTTACACAAGTGGACACTCAGCGTCTACCTGTACAATTAGGAAGAAATATGTGAAGCCATTTCAGGGGGTACGTGAGATGTTAAAATAGAGTATATGTAAAAAAAAATAGCATCAAGGCAAAACCAAAAAGAGATAAATTGCAGGAGTTGCCTCCCTACCACCAACAATGACAAAGACGGTCAATTAAGCACAGGGTTGGGAGCGTTACTTTTAAAATGCATTCTGATACAGGAACTACCTGGAAAAAATGTAGTAAGGTAGTCCAAATCCCGGAATTTTAAAGTAATGTAACTTGAAAAGTGGGTGAGTGTGTGGTTGGTTGGTGGGTTGGATGGATGGATAGGATGGATGGATGGATGGATGGACGGACGGACTCACAAGACTGATAGATAGGTCGATCGATCGATAGTGATTCTGAGGAGGGAAATCCAACTTATTGAAATCTTTATCCTGTTTCTGCCTGGCCATTCACGACCACATGTACACCCTGAACATTGATTACAAAAATCATAAATAATGATTAATATCTTTATCCAGATGATTTTTCTGCAGCAGAAAATGGCACCGCTTGCTACAATGAGACACTTCATACCATGCAATGCGCCTTAAGCACAGTCAAAGCCCGTTTGAGAGAACCATAACGACCATTTGGGAGTTGGATTTGGACTCACCCTTGACTCAGTGGAGTCGTCACGGTGCCATCATGAGGCTACCCCCATATCAGGGGTGGCGTAACCAAGCTGCTAAATCTGCTGTGAAAAGCAGGGATGAAAACCTTGGAGGAGCCAACAGCTGTATGCACGGGTGTCCCTGACATCGCCGTTGGAAATCTAATCATCTGGGACGGGTTAGACTCAGCGGCAGGTGCCACGCAGCATGGGACTTGGTGCTCGTGGGCAAAGCAAAGTCACCGATGTTCCTTCAACCCTGAGCAGTAACGTGAGAGCACACTGTTGGATGAGAGAAAACATGTGTCCCATCTTAGGTCGGCTAGCGCTCTTGTCACATAGTATGGTTGATCGAGGTGTTTCGTTGCTGCAAATAAAAAGTCAAACGTACTGAAAGTATTTACATCCGATGTCTGCACCTTGCAGCCTTGACAGCCTTGACATGACCCTCACCGGAATGACGCCAAAAATAGAGAAGTGGGAACTTTTGATGACTGTATCCAATTCAAACAGTAACAGGATGCGGCATTTAAACGTATTCCCATTAAATTATGAAAATGAAAAGACATTTGTGATGTATCAAATAATTTTCGCCGTACATGAAAATTTAATGAGTCTTTTAGGATGCACCGGGAAAAACAAATACCCCTCTATCTTTGTAATTGGATCTCTATGGATTTGAAGATGGTTAAAGTAGATTAGATGCCTCGGAGTGTGTTTATGTGAGCCACTGAGCGCGCGCATGCATATGAGCTTGTTCGAGGGATCCTCTGCTTGTAGGTGTGCAACTTATATGTATTGTGTGCATAGATTGGAGAGAGAGAGAGAGAGAAAATGTGCATGTGTATGTGTGCCCAGCAGTCCCACCATCCCAGCAGGGTGTTTCTGAAGCAGAGGAGATCAAAGCCACATTAGCATTCTGAAATAAATCACAATGTTCATTCCTCACTGCGCGGGTCCCCAAACACACACACACACACACACACACACACACACACACACACACACACACACACACACACACACACACACACACACACACACACCCTACCATCCTTCTCTTCAAAAGAGAGCACCTCCCCACCCTTTTCCTCCATCCAATACCACCCCCCTCCCCTCCCGGCCCGAGTGGCTGTCAGAGCGATCTGCCTCCCGAATCCTTTGTGTTCCATCCTTTCACTTTTCACCTACCAACACGTGCTTCATCTCCTCCCTCCTGCAATCAAGCCTAAAACGCTTTGTCAGAGAAAGCCATTGTTCGCTGGCGGGAAAGAAAAAAAAAAGCTGTTTTTTGATAAGTATATCCTGAGGAAGATACCTCTGCACATCTCAGCGCATCTCATTTTCCTCCAGTTCTCGTCTAAGCAATTACCTGAGCAAAACCGGTGTTCCTATTTTTTTGTGGCTCCTCACAAAAGGTATTCTGAAATTTAGCAAGACTTCACTTTGCTGCTTTTGCCCACGGCAGGAGGAAAAAAAAAAAGGAGGAAAGGGGTAAGGGGTGATTGACAGCCAAGGAGAGGAAGGAGCTCACCTAGGCGCCAGAATTAGAATGAGAAGAACATACATGCCCCATGAAAAATGCTGACCGTTGCAATATCTGTGACGGTCCGCGAGTCTTTGTGCTTACTTGTCCTTGCGCGCGCATTTGCATGTATGTGTGCATCTGGGCACGTGCGTGGGATGGCTAAGTTTGGGACAATGTGTCCATGCGTGGAGTTATTTATATGCGTGCATGTTTTCACGTGGGTCTGCTCGTGTGTGTGTGTGTGTGTGTGCGTGCGCATGTGTGTATGTGTCATTTTGATAGCCACCCACATGAATATGTAGATCACTTTTAGGGAGCGTATGTGCTCAGCATTAAAGCCCACTCTCCACTGCTGACCCAATTTCACAGTGCGCTCTGTGTGTGTGCGTGTGTGTGTGTGTGGACTTATCACTTGCAAGCTTGGAGAAATGGTGCGGTTTCAGACGGAGGAGTGCGAGTGGGTGTGTGCGTGCGTGAGGTTGCCGATGAGTTTTTGTAGTTTTATGAAGCGAAAAACAACAACAACAACAACGTGATAAGGCTTAGCCGCCACACAGTTTTAATACATATCACCAAATTATTCGAACAGGACCATGACTAAACCCCCTCGGAATGCAAATGAATCCTCAGCATGGACCCCAGCGTGGTTTCTCCAGATTTACATGATGATCTTGCATACATCTTGTTGAGCCAAGCATGTCTCAATTTGCTTTTCAATTAGCAAAACAATAGTTGACCTTTCGCTTAGAATGCTCATAAATATGGCTGTCATGTTTGTCAAAAAGGCAGCGTCCCCCCCACGCCCCCCTTCAAAAAAAATCTCACCAAATGTTTGTTTAATGTGGATCAAAATTGATATGCAATAAGGACATGTTGCGTCTTCATATGCTGGAATTATGTATTCAGCAACCACAGCATTAGGTACACATGCATATTCTAATAAGTTCCAGTTGAAGGGAACCCAACACACACACACACAAACACACACGCACACGCTCACCTCTCACAGTATCTCTGTGGACAAAAAAATGTACCTGTCATTATGCCATGCAAGACGTCAGCAAATCTTTCAATACCTCAGCTTTGGGAGCATCAAAGAGATTACTTCCGCAAGCGGGGTTTTGAGTTTTCTTATTCCCTTGTAGGTGTTTGATTCGTGTGATGCTGTGACACAACGTCACCAATGACCAAACGTGAAGACCAAAGAAGGAGAAATTGGTATGCAGAGAAGGAAAGTAAAAAGTTGCAAAACATGGCTCACAATTCAACAATATGTCTGATAAAAATGGTAATAATGATGACAATAGTGGACTCATGAAAATGCTCTGTGTGCATGGAAGGTGGCTTCCATCCTCCCTCCCTCAGCACACTCCAAAAATAAATTAGGCAGGCTAGTTGCACATAGAGCTCTAGTTTTGTGTATGGAGAAAAAGCTATCCTGAATTTCATGCAGGCAAGCCACAAGCCAATTTGGAAGACCGGTCTGCACTAAGCTAGTGAAAGTGAGTTCTAGCGCAACAAGGGTGTGTGCTTGAAGAGATAAACGTTGGAATGACAATTTTGGTAGTCGGTCGAAAGTTGCTCCTGCTCGGACAACATCTAAATACAAACGTAATTTTATACGTGCCAGGTTGAAGGCATCTGCAAAATTACCAACACTCGGTCTAACCCACCTCTGTGCAGAATTACGTCATTTGCCGTGCTGGGTTGGTGCCAATCAGGAGAATAGAGCCCATATTGATAAAATTGGCTGAGGAGCACTTGTTGCAATACAATACGGACAATGTGTCCATGCGTGGAGTTATTTATATGCGTGCATGTTTTCACGTGGGTCTGCTCGTGTGTGTGTGTGTGTGTGTGTGCGTGCGCATGTGTGTATGTGTCATTTTGATAGCCACCCACATGAATATGTAGATCACTTTTAGGGAGCGTATGTGCTCAGCATTAAAGCCCACTCTCCACTGCTGACCCAATTTCACAGTGCGCTCTGTGTGTGTGCGTGTGTGTGTGTGTGGACTTATCACTTGCAAGCTTGGAGAAATGGTGCGGTTTCAGACGGAGGAGTGCGAGTGGGTGTTTATGTTTGTGAGGTTGCCGATGAGTTTTTGTAGTTTTATGAAGCGAAAAACAACAACAACAACAACGTGATAAGGCTTAGCCGCCACACAGTTTTAATACATATCACCAAATTATTCGAACAGGACCATGACTAAACCCCCTCGGAATGCAAATGAATCCTCAGCATGGACCCCAGCGTGGTTTCTCCAGATTTACATGATGATCTTGCATACATCTTGTTGAGCCAAGCATGTCTCAATTTGCTTTTCAATTAGCAAAACAATAGTTGACCTTTCGCTTAGAATGCTCATAAATATGGCTGTCATGTTTGTCAAAAAGGCAGCGTCCCCCCCACGCCCCCCTTCAAAAAAAATCTCACCAAATGTTTGTTTAATGTGGATCAAAATTGATATGCAATAAGGACATGTTGCGTCTTCATATGCTGGAATTATGTATTCAGCAACCACAGCATTAGGTACACATGCATATTCTAATAAGTTCCAGTTGAAGGGAACCCAACACACACACACACAAACACACACGCACACGCTCACCTCTCACAGTATCTCTGTGGA